AAGAACCAAGAATGGTTATGTAAAGGTGCAAATTTCCAATGATGAATGTCATTATATTGCATACCTAAAATGTACTAATAAAACTAATTTAAAACAATAAAAAAGTAAAAAGCTAAGTATCACTGACAAAATCTGCATAACCATTTCCTTTTCAAGAACAACCAAATTGTTAAAAACTGCAAATTAAACAGACTGAACATATTTAAAATAAAATAAAATAAAATGAACTATTTGTGAAATGATCTGAAAATGAACATTAAAAAAACCAAAGTTTCAAACCAGAGCTTGGCCAAGGTGATAAATAATACAATAAATAGGACATAAATCTTAAATAATTTTTATATTCTCTGTAATATTTTTTAAAAATACCTGTACATCCAGTCGCCACTCAAGGCTATGGTAACTGGGAAGGTCAGGTGCCAATTCATTCAAAATAGTTCTGATCTCCTTTCTGTTGTCCAGATAAAGCTGAAGTAATAATTTGTTTAATTCTTCAGAGAATCCCAAAACAAAAACAGAGTCTTGGAAATCCAGTTCAGATATCTAAAAGTAAATTAATTTTAACAGATCAAACTGTTATCTTTGTCTAGTAAATGCTAAAATGTTGCACAAAAGATGCATATGATAATCCCTAATTTTGTCCATAAAATTTCTTTTTTTTTAACCTTTTTTTGGGTACCTGGGATTGAACTCGGGACCTTGCGTTTGCAAGACAGGCAGCAGAACCACTGAGCTAAATCCCCGGCCCTTTTCTATAAAATTTCTTAGACAACCACTGCCTACCATTCCAAAACCTTAGTTACTGACATACAAAAATATTTTAAAAGCATAAAAGGAAAGAATTAATATACTCAGTTTTGCTTACTATTCTCCATCATGACAGATACTGTTGACACGCATAAAAAGCATTTCATTCTTCCTTCTCTTAGTATACATATACTATGGCATATGGTTTGACAACATGCAGAATTAGACAGTTTTAATTTTTTTTTTTTGGTACCAGGAATCGAACTTGGGTCCTTGTGCTTGAGAGGCAGGTGGTGGAACCACTGAGCTAAATCCCCAGCCCCAAGACAGTTTTAATTTATTCTAGCAAGAGGTATTCATATCAGCATATGTATTTTTTTTTTCTTTTTGTGGTACCAGGGATCGAACTCAGGACCTTGCACTTGCCAGGCAGGCACAGCACCACTGAGCTACATCCCCAGCTCCCTATCAGCATATGCTATAGTCATTGCTTAGGTATTTTCCACAAAAGTAATTACACCATTAACAACATTATTAAAATATACATGTACCTGCCACAACTATAATGTAGAGCACACTAAACTTTTTTTATTTTTATTTTTTGGTACCAGGGATCGAATTTGGGTCCTTGTGCTTGAGAGGCAGGTGGGTCCTTGTGCTTGAGAGGCAGGTGCCGGAACCACTGAGCTAAATCCCCAGCCCCCTAAACTTATTTTTTTAAAGGATCCAGATAATACAAAGCAGTTTTCAGAAGTCCTTACCATAAGCTTTGAGCTCTCAGTGAGGAGATACGTTAATCCTTCCACACCATGCTGGACAGTGTCACTACTCACACTGAGTTTTCCTAAGAAAAGGAAAAATTAACAAATCAATCATTCCGTGATATTTATCCTTTTATTCAAACTATTTAAAATATTTTCATTTATTCCATGTTTTCAAACACTGCAATACAAGAGTAAGCTGGTTAGCACCTCCTGCTCTTTCTCACTGTACTCCCTCCCAGTTGCTTTCCGTATTTCTGACCATGTAATCATAAAAAAATGTAGAGTTGTGGAGACCAGTACCAGGCGCCCAGTCCTTCTCTTGAACATGAAGCTCCTTCAAGTCTCGCAGAAGAGGAACTCAACAGGGACTGACTTAATCTCAGAGTCTGCCCTCAGCCAGGAGGAAACAACAATATTTCAACAAAAGCAGTTGTCTGGATAGTTAATATCAACCAAACACTTGCGTGATGTTTACACCTGACCCATCTATTTCCAAAGCCTTTGATACACAGTGTTAAGCACCACAGTATTTCTGAAAGGCAGGGCATATTATATTCATTTTAATCACGAAGAAACTAACTGATAATTGATGCTTTGAAAATCTCAACGACTTAGGGAACAAGCAGGGTTAGCGCCTCAACTGAGGAGCTTTGATGGTTTAAATCTATTGCAATGGGAACAAGACACTAGCTCTCCTAAAAGTCCCTTCCTTTTTTGGGCGACAGAGAATAGCATGCACTTCCTCATGCAGCTTGCAGAGCCCGGTTCTGCTCTTCTTACTGGCGGCGCCTTCGTAGATCTTAGGGTTCGATCCTCGCCTCAGGAACTCCACCGCTATCCGCCCAAACTCGGCGACCACTGCAACGGAAGTTAGGAGGCCATGAGCGGCAGGTGCTCCTTCGGCGTCTTCCCCAGCCCACAGAACACTGCCCCTACACTCTCTTACCCGCGCTGTCCACTTGCGGTAGGAAAGCCAGGTGCTCCTTATGCTCCTCAGACAAGTCCAGCAGCATCTTTGCTGAGCCGACTTCCCGCGGGGCCGCCGACCCCACCCTCGCCACTTCCGGCGCCTAAGTCCAGGCGTACAGAGGCTCGGATGCCGCATCTCCCCAAGCTTTGGGTTCCGGCCTCTAGCGGTCGCACTAGCTGAGGCCCTGATTCGGGCAGGCTCGGGGGTGTAGGGCCCAGGGTGGTGTAGGAACAGGAGCTTCTTCCCATTCATAATCACCCTGCAAACATGTCGTGAGTTCCTACTTGGTGACCGGTGCTAGCCTTTGAAGGAAAAGAAAAGGTGTTTAAAATCTGATATGTTCCCTCCCTCACGGAACATTCATGGATAATAGCAATACAACTTAATACTGGTTAAGCTCTGTGTCATGAGTATTGTTAATGTTTATTAATTCATTTTCAGTTCACAAGAAACTTATATGTAGATCTATTATTATTTCCATTAGAGATAAACAGATAACAAGTGAAACTTTTATACCGTTATTAGTTTGCACAGAGCTTTTGTGTATGTTAATTTATCTCATTTAATGCTCTCCGTATGTATGTCCTCCATTTTACAAGTTAGGAAGCAAAGCTCTAAAGGTTATGTGGCAAAATCAGCGACAGAGCTGGAAGGAAATGGTCAGCTCCAGCTACATACCAGACTGAAAACTGAAGGTTTTGTTTATTTGTTTTTTTCAGTACTAGTGATTGAACCCAGGGTCTTGGCATGAGCTACATCCCCAGTCCATTTTTTATTTTGATTTTCTTTTTTTTTTTTTGGTACCGGGCATTGAACTCAGGTCCTTGTGCTTGTGCAGCAGGCGGTGAAACCACTGAGCTAAATCCCTAGCCCATCACTTTTTATTTCGAGACAGGGTCTCATTAAGGCTGCTAAATTGCCCAGGCTGGGCTTGAACTTGTGATGCTACTGGCTCAACCTCCCAGAGTGCTGGGATTACATGCCTGAAAAAACTGAAGATTTATAACAATGTTTCTGTGCTGCTGGGGATCCAGCTTAGGGCTTTACATACATTAAATACAGACTTCACTATTGAACAACATCCCCAGCTCCTGTAACAAGTTTTATGAGTGATTCTAAATTAGGATAAATATGATGATGATGACGACAGTAACCTAAGCTTGTAGAATTCAGAGCAAGAACATTATTTTATGTTTTGAAGATGTATGAGAGTTTGGCCCCTTTTCCAACTCTCTTGTCACCTGTTGTGGTTCAAATATATAAGATATAGGATAGTAACTGATAGGAAGGTGACTCTCCAAATCTCTCTCCCTTGGTAGTGTTGGGGACAAGGGAAAAGTAAGATGGTGCAGGAAGAGACACAGACAGACTTTACATCTGTCTTTTATATCTAGGGGTGATGGGATGAGAGACTCCCAGGTAGAAGTGGAATTGGAAATTTTTCAGCTCCTGTCTCTGTCCTTCACATCAAACTGAAATATTTTCTTCCATTGGGGCACAAAAAGTCAAGTCCTTGAACTTACCAATTATGTGTTGAATCCTCAGATGCAGAGAGAGAGAGAGAGAGAGAGAGAGAGAGAGAGAGAGAGAGAGAGAGAGAGAAAGAGAAGTTTCTGCTAAAGACTGTAAATTGCCGATCAAGAAAAAATGGCATCAGTTGTTTCTGGAGATGCTTTTACTCATATATATGTTATTAAGAAAATGTCTATTGTTGAAGAATAATTTTCAGATAAGATAAAGTCATGATCCTTCTATGGATATATAATGAACACATGTCAACATTTTATTGAACTCACTCACTCATTAAGAAATTAGTGAGAACACAGTAAGAACCAATTTCAGCTGATTCAAAGGAAACATTCAAGAATGGTAAAGGCTGGGTGTGGTGGCTCATACCTGTAATCTCAGCAGGGAGATGGAGACAGGAGGATCATCATGAGTTTGAGGCCAGCCTGGGTTACATAGTGAGTTCAGGGCCAGCTTGAACTACAAAGCAAGACCCTGCCTCAAAAAAAAAAGTGCAGAAGTGAACTTACAGATACAATATTGTACCACTATGAGTCAGACTTTCTTCTCTGTGGTCTCAGGGACTACCATGGGGACAGGGCAGGTGAAAGTAAGAATAAGAAGAAGCATTCAATCCCCGGTACCAAAAAAAAAAAAAGTAGCAGAGTAGGACCCAGGTGTGGTGGCACACATCTTTAGTCTCAATACTCTGGGAGGCTGAGGCAGGAGGATCAGATGTTGACACTCAGCCTAGGCAACTTAGTGATTTAGTGAGACATTGAGTGAAAATGAAAAATAAACAGAAGGCTTGGGATATAACTCAGTGTGAAAGCCCTAGGTTCAGTTCTCAATGAAAGAAAAAGGGATCCCAGGAGGAAGAAGGGAGGAAAAAGAAAAGAAAAACAAAAAAGAAAAAAGAATGGGTTGTCCAAAAAATGTCAAGTAACCAGGTTACAATCAGGGAAAATCAGCTTAACATTTGTTAAACACTATGTTTAAACCATTTAAAAACACCCCAAGATAATTTGTATAGTGGTAAAAGTTAACACTCCAAAAAGTGACTATCAAAGGTTATGTTTATCAAAGGTCATATACTTTAGAGAAATTACCTGAATGAAAATCAAGTTTAGATTCCAGATCTGGCTCTGACATTTACTATCTGTATGACTTCCAACAAGTTGATTTCATATATTTTAGCTTCTTCATCTCTCAAGTATTTTAAAGATTTTTTTAAAGGTCCCATCTATTCAAGATTCCACTGCCTCCCAGTAGCACCGAACAGGGGACCAAGTGGAGGATATTCCACATCCAAAGTATAGTAGGGACTTACTCCTACTCTAGATAGAATAGACAAATATGTCCTGGGTTGTAAGATGTACTGTTTTTAGGACATCAGTTGTGCCCAATCATAATCACAATAGGCTTTTAAAATAGAGAATCTCAAGTTCCTTTAAAAATTTATATGAAAATGCAAAGAAAAGAAAACAGTCAAAACAATGCAAAGAATGAACAAAGTCAGATGATTCATGTTACCTGATTTCAAGACTAATTAAGCTGTGATATGAAGATACTACAGTATTGGTAAAAGGACCGGAAAAAGAACAGCATAAAGAGTCTGAAAAGTCCATAGATATGTTCCCAATTGATTTTCAACAGAAGAGCCAAAGTAATCCAGTGGGAGAAAGAAAAGTATTTTCAATAGTAGGTACTATAATAACTAGATAAATAATGAAAAAAATGAGTTCTGTTTTTTGCTGCATACTCTACACACAGCGTTTGAGATAAATCATGAACCTAACATAAAAGCTAAAACTATACAGCTACTAGAAGGAAACATAAGGAATATCTTCATGTAGGCAAAGAATTCTTAGAGAGGAAATAAGAAAAAAAGGTAAATTATATTTGATCAAAGTTAACAACTTTAGGGCTGGGGATTCAGCTAAGTGGTTCCGCCGCCTGCCTCGAAAGCGCAAGGTCCCGAGTTCGATCCCTGGTACCAAAAAAGAAAAAGAAAGAGCTTGATTGCAGTAACTTCTGGAGTAGCTGTTGACTGACTCCTTTGGCTGGTGGTATTTTTTTTGTTTTTTGTTTTTTTGTTCTGTTTTGTTTTTTGAGGCAGGCCTTGAACTCACTATGTATCCCTGGCTCACCTTGAACTTGTACTTTAATCTTGAACTTGTGGTGATGCTCCTGCCTCAGCTTCCAAGTGGTATGTGCTACCATTCCTGGCTTGTTAAGGATATATTGAGGTACATGGGCCAGCAGCAGTGAAGACATCTGACCCAGAGCAGGCCATTCTAGAAGTCAGACCTCCACTACCATGGGCCAATGTGTCACCAAGTGCAATAATCCCTCATTGACCCTGGGTAGCAAGAATGGAGACTGGGACCCCAGCAGCAAGTCACACAGCAGGCAAGGGGCAGGCTACTGTGAGGAACAGGTGCTACTTGCCACAGAGGCAAGATCCAGGTCAATGGGACCAAGAAAGCAGAGGTTGCCGCTGAGACCTGTTTGCTGCCGACATTGTTGGGAGATGCTGGACTGGAGACCAAGTCTAATGGTGAAGAATCTTCCTTGCAGAGGTTGGAGGAACTTTTCAGGTGCTACAAAGATGAGCAGGAAATGCACTTTTGGAAGAAGCCATGGGGCACTTTGCAATAACCTATGTGTCGATCCCATGGAATTTCAAATACTGCTCTTGGCTTGGAGGTTCCAGGCTGCTACCACAAACAAATTCACAAAAAAGCTTTTCGATGGCTGCAAAGCATGAAGTGCAGATAGCATTGACAGGTTTTGTGCAGTTCCCTAGCCTCTTGGCAAGAGCCAAACAAAAAGGTAACTCAAGGATCTCTACCTGTTTATATTTCAGTGTGACCTGAACTTTGGAGAAGGGTGGCAGTCACTGCATCAGGAAATACCCTGTGAAACTAGTCTTCACCTGGAACAATCCTCCTGTATTTGACACAAGACCCCCTGGAAATCAGAAAACTCCTGGGATTCAAAAACTGAAATCTTTCACACTAAAATCAGGAACAAGATAAGGATGTCCACTATCACCACTCCTGTTCAATATAGTCCTGGAAACATTAGTGACAGCAATTAGACAAGAAAAAGAAATAAAAGGAATAAAGATAGTAAAGGAAGAAGTTAAAATGTCATTATTCATGGACATGATACTCTATATAGAAGACCCCAAAAACTTCCCCAAAAGACTCCTAGACTTAATAACCAGAGTCAGTAGAGTAGCTACAAGATCAACACTCAAAAATCAATAGCCTTCTAGGGCCAAGGATTTAACTCAGTGACACCGCACCTGCCTTGCAAGCACAAGGTCATGAGTTCGATCCCTGGTACAAAAAAAAAATCAATAGCCTTCTTATACATGAACAACAGACTCACTGAGAGAGAAATTGAGGAAACAATTCCTTTCACAATAGCATCCAAAAAAATGAAATATCTAGGGATCAATCTGATGAAAGAAGTAAAAGACCTCTACTTTGAAAACTACAGCAATCTGAAAAAAGAGATCAAAGAGGATATTAGAAAATGAAAAGACATCCCTTGTTCCTGGGTGGGAAGAACCAATGTAGTGAAAATGGTCATACTTTCAAAACTGCTATATAGATACAATGCATTCCCAATTGAAATCCCAACAGCGTATTTCACAAAACTTGAGAAAACAATCCAAAAATTCACTTGGAACCAGAAGAGAACCAGAATAGCAAAAGCAATTCCAGGCAACAAAGACAAGGCAGGGAGTATCACAATCCCCAACTTGAAACTATACTACAAAACTACTGTGATAAAAACAGCACAGTACTGACAAATAATGAGTAGGATCAATGGAATAGATTAGAAGGATCAATGAATGGAGAATCAATGGAATAGAGGATCAATGGAATAGATTAGAAGATGCAGAAACAACTCCAGACATACTAGGCTGCTTCATATTTCACAAAGGAGCCAAACATCCTCACTAGAGGAAAGACAGCCTCTTTAATAAATGGTGCTGGAAAAACTGGGTCTCAATTTGCCAAAGATTAAAATTAGATTCATATCTTTCACCATGCACTAAAATAGAATTGAAATGGTTCAAAGATCTAAATATTAAAACAGAAACACTAAACTTGCTGGCAGATGGGTTAGGTAGAACTCTGAAAGACATTGGCATAGGAAAAGACTTTATGAACAAAACTTCAGTCACACGAGAACTAGCAGAAAGAATCAACAACTAGAATCTCATCCTATTAAAAAGCTGCACAAAAAGAGAAACCACCAACAGAGTAAAAAGACAACCTACAATATGGGAAAAAATTTTCACCAGCTGTTCCTCAGACAAAGGACTACTATCTAGAATATATAAAGAACTTTAAAAAATCAGAGCCCCCCCCAAATTTAAAGACTCAATCCAGAAATGGGCTGCTGAAATGAATAGACATTTCTCAGATGAAGAAGCAAAAGCAGCAAATAAACATATGAAAAAATGTTCAACATCACTGGTCATTCAAGAAATGCAGATGAAAACAACACTGAGATTCCACCTCACCCCAGAAAGAATGGCTGCTATCAAGAAATCAACCAACGACAAATGCTGGAGGGGGTATGGGGAAAAAGGAACCCTTCTTCACTGTTGCTGGGAGTGTAGAATTGTGCAACCACTGTAGAAATCAGTGTGGAGATTTCTTGAAAAAACTAAAACTAGAGGTTCCAGCTATACCTCTTCTTGGTATCTTCCCAAAAGAATTAAAAGAATCATACCACAGCAATATATGCACACCCATGTTTAGAGCAGCAGTTTGTAATAGCTAAAACTTGGAAACAGCCCAACGTCCATCAACTGACTAGTGGATAAAGAAGATGTGGCGTTTTTTTATACAATGGAGTACTACTCTGCCATAAAGAAGAATGAGCTTCAGACATTTATAGCTAAATGGATGCACCTTGAGACCATACTCTTAAGTGAAATAAATCAACACACATGTTTAAATACCATTGTTTCTCTGATGTGAGAAACTGCAAGAGTAAACAAGGACTAAAATGTATAATAGATAATGTAAAATAGGAAGAAAAGGTCCAAAAGGGAAGGAGAACTAGAGAGGGGGGTGGAGGAAAGGAAAGGAAAAAATGTGAGACGAGAAGGAAAAAACAGAAACAAAGTTTTTGTAAATAGGGAGGGGTGGAGGGGTGGGAGAAGAAGGAAGGGGAATGAGGAAAAAACAAGAACTTAGACATATCGTGTACAGATACAAATTCCCAATGATGAGTGTGAAAATAATGTATACCTAAGATGTACCAATAAACTTAATGGAATAAAAAAAGTCTGCTATTTCTTGCACAAATTTAGATTTGAGAGGTGAGGTGTAGGGCTGGGTAGGGAGAATGGAACTATTAGGTTGAATTAACATTACAGAATGATACAGTGCCAGATCTCAGTTTTGCACATTTTTTTCAGAGCAGGTCTGTTACTGTGTGTTTACATGGTGGAATTTAGGTTGTAATGATTATTTAAAAATTTTTCACAGATTTGTTAACCAGACTGTATTAACTCCCAGACAATTTAGATCTTTTGGAGAGCCAAGGCCCACCAAGAGCATTTACAGTCTGGTGGCAACCTCCTTTTTAATTTTCCCAAAACCCTTATTTCCCATTGCTTCTTGTTCATTATGTCTTTGACCTGTTGTGTTTCATGTTGAGTTTATCTATCAGCATGCTGCACTTGTCAAGTGAGCAGTTTTATTTTTATTTATTTATTTAGAGCACATTGTATTGAGAACCACTTAACACACTGAATGCAGAGAAATCAGTGCCGCCTCAGTTTTGTTGGAAGTAGACTTCTTTGGTCGTTTTCTTTCTTTGATGAAGATTCTCAATTTTCATGTTTTAAGTGGTTTTCCATGTGCCTTGGAACCAAAATTTCTGTTCCTAATGGTCGGAAAATTGGGTCTGCTGGCCACCTGACTTAAAGAAAAACTGAAGTATGGGACACCACTTAAAATATTTTTTTTCTTTGAGTATCACCCGTTTGTGTGTCTGTCAAATGCAGAAGCCAAAGGATGGCCTGTATTCTGCCAAACAAATATCAAAGTATATTTAATAGTTAAATGTGTGCTTTTCCCTTCTTGCTGTACCCATGCTCTCATTTAACCCCCAGAAGTTACTCATCTTTTCACTAATATCAAGCTCATTTTGTGTGAAGATATGTATATACTTTACCTATATAAACACACATACACACACAGAAAACAAAGTAAAAAACTTTTGTTTATCAAAAGATACCACTAACAAAGTGAAAAAAATTAGCCACAGACTGGGAAAAATATGCACAATATAAACATCTTATGGAGGATTTGTATCATGAATACAAAAAAACCTCCATCATTTTTTTAAACTTCAATTTTTAAAATAGACAAAACTTGGTACTTCACAAAAGAAGATACACAAATGGACAGTAAGCTCATGAAAGTGTTCACTATCACAATGGTCAAGGAAATGCAAATTAAAACCACAATAATATGCCATTTCAAGCAGACTCCAGTGGTGGTGAACCTACTGTACACATGCCACAGTGAGCTATTTGAATCATGGACAGCTCTAAAATGTTCATCATCACTGAATTAGAATGATTAAAACTTTAAAAACACTGAAAACAGTAAAAGTTAGTGAAGCATGTAAGGTAGCTAGAACTTCTTTTTTCCTATAGTGCTGGGGATCAAACCTAGGGCCTCATGTTTGTTAAACAAGTGCTCTACTACTAAGCTAAATCTTCAGCCCTTTTGAATATTACTAACTAAAAAGTGAAATGATAAAATCACTTTGGATGACGATTAAGTAGATTCTTATTTTGTTAAATGTGCATTAACCCTATTATCTAATAATTCCATTCCTAGGTATTTGAACAAAGTTAATGAAAACATATATCCAGAGAAATAATTTTACAATAATGTTTGTAAAGACTTTTATTTATATTATTTCTAAACAGGAGACAATCTAGGTGTCCATAGAGTTGATAGATAAATCATAGTGTATTCATACTGAAGCGAGACCACTTGAGGGTCTCCAGACAGACCGACCACATGAGTAGGACCAAAAATCAACTTTATCGCTGGCAGCTTCAAGGGATTCAAATCACCTCAAAAGTGTCAAACAGAAGTTTACTCTCATTTTTATACTTTTATGATTCTATGGGAGGGGGAAACAGCAACTCTAATCACTGGGGAAACAGCTATCAATCTAAACACAATTACATAAGTGAAGAGGCAATGAAGGGGGAGCAGGAGGTTTGGCAGGGCTTGCTGAGATCGCTTTGCTCTTGTGAGTTTGCATTACAGTAGTAACTCTAGTTACAATATATCTTTCTCATCAAGCCTAGTTACACAGTTAACCCACAGTTGCCCATTTTTACACGGGAAGACAGTTTTTGCCCTCAATACAATAGAATGCTAGTCAATAATAAAAAGTACTACTGATACATGCAACAATGTAAATGATCTAAAACATCAAGAATAGCAAAATAATCAAGATAACAATTGTGAACAAGTGACTTGGAAATCTTATCTGTGGTGACAGAATCAGAGAAACATTTGCCTATAGGTATTGAGATTGATTTAGGAGCTTGGAGTAACTTTCTGGGGGTAACCAAACTATTCTACATCTTAATTTAGATATTATTTATACAGATATATGTTTGTTAAACCCATTGAATATTACATTTAGGATCTATGCAATCCACTGTTTATAACCATTACTTCAATTTAAAAACAGAAAGCCATGCTGTAGCAGAAATTAAAAATATGTTAAGACTAACATACCATCTGGATAATACTTGTCACTCTCCTTGAAACTTTCTTTTTTTAAAATTTAATTTAATTTAATTTTTTTCCTGGAACTGGGGATCGAACTCAAGACCATGCACTTGCAAGGCAAGCACAGCACCATTGAGCTAAATCTGTGGCCCTTGCAACTTTCTTACATAGAATTTTAAGCATTTATTTTTTTCATTGTATTCTACATTTATATGACTTAAAAACTCAAAAGCATTTAAACAAATCTAGAAAAATAAAGGAAGAAACAATAAAAATTATTTCATCCTTGTTTCCTATCCTCTATCTCACCCTGTTGAAAGCCCTACGTTTTCACGGGGTGGGGTGGGGGTGATGCAGTCCATGAAAACATGATGTTAAGCATTAAATATCCTGTTGAAGTCATAGCACTAAAACTGCAAGCATTAGAGCTGGAAGCATTACAAATTTTAACATTGGAACTGAGTCTTGAATAGGTTTTTGTGCAAACTAAAGTTATTACTTTTCTTTTTTTTTTTTTTTTGGTACCGGAGATCGAACTCGGGCCCTTACGCTTGCGTAGCAGGCAGCAAAACTACTGAGCTAAATCCCCGGCCCAGTTATCAAGACTTTTCAAAGCACAACTTCCGGAAGGTTTTCACCTGCTGTCAGACCTCCTTGGGTAGTCAGGTTAGAAATGCTCTTTTTGGCAAGAGCTCTTGCTATTTCTAACTGTTGAAGCCATCGTTTCTCTTTAAAGGCACTGGAAGGAAATAAGACAGAATTCATCAAGAGGGTTAGTCTCATCGCTTTACATAGCTGAAAGGATGGAAATATTCAGGTTGATTTTTGTAGTTGTGGCCAGTTTGTCTCATTACATGGGTAGGATGTGAAATAGAAAAAAGATTCTTTCTAAAACCAATTCTTTGTGATGCCGTGGGAATGATGTGTTCCCAAAGCAATACTAGAAGTTTAGAACCTGCAACTAGAAACAGAAAACCTAAAAAAAAAAAGAAACAGAAAGCCTATGAATGTTTTGTAAAATTTTCTAGCTTGAAACTTTTTCAATTTGTCCTTCCTATATATCACATATTTGTAACCACTTGTTCTCCTCCAAATGCCCATTAGAATTTTTCATTAAGAAAATCTAAGTTTTTTGATAGTCTTTAACTGAAATGCAATGGAATTTATTATTTCCTGAGAGTTGTTCTCTGGCTACATACTAATAAAGACATAAATTTGACTATTATTAACCTACTTACTAGGATGTAAATGTGTTCATTGCAGAAGAATTGTGCATCCTCTTAAGTATTGGAGTCCTCTAAGATTTTACCCTTGGTTCTCATCTCTTTGTCCCCTTATGCTGGGAGGTTTCATTTATGCCTTGCTTCAGTTCTAATATTCATGACTCCTAAATCTTGACCTTTCTTAAAACTTACATATTTCCAATTAGCAAATAAAACTGTCAATTTGACATGTCTTTAATCTTCTTCCAATGAGGACACATAGACTTTGCTGTCCTCATCATCTCCAAAACTGGAAACAAAACTCAATTCCTTCTTTCTCTGCTCATACAGCCAATTGGTGACCAAATTTCATAGGTGATTCCCCAGAAATATCTCCTTTCGTTGGTACTTTCCCTCTTCCCTGACTACTACTGTTATTATAGTCTAAATATTTATTATTTCTTGCTTCTCTTATTGCTGTTTCTTAACTATTTTAGTGTTTTCACACCTTTCCAGTGAGTCTCCTATACATCTCCACCAGATTTGTCTTCAAAAAACAAACAAAAACTAACTAAATGACTTACCTTATTAAAAAGTACCTAACATACCTCATGGAAAACAAAATGAGTAAACTCTTTGCTTAGACCTAAAGATGTTTCTTAATGTAAATGCAATGTACATGGCCAGTCTCATCTCCAGTAAATTTCTCCCTATCCTCTAAAATGCTTTTTGCAAATCCATTTATTCTCTTGAGAACTACACCTCTTGCTTGCTTTTTCAAAGTAATGTCTTTGACCAGATTACTGTTGCGATCTGGATCTTTTCCTTCATTATTACCACTTTTGTTTAGTTAAGTCCTGTAGATTTTTTTTTTTTTTTTGGTACCAGAGATCGAACTTGGGACCTTGCACTTGTGAGGCAGGCGCCGGAACCACTGAGCTAAATCTCGGCCTCCTGTAGATTTTTAAAAAGGCTTCCACTCAAACTGTTAGGAGCAGCCTTGCATAGAAATATTTTAGCGTTTCAAACATATGAACTAGATCTATGCATGGCTGCTTACCTTATTTATTCTGAATTAACCTCTTGGTTTACCTCTATAAGTGTGTCTCCCTGGGCCATCTAAGGTGAGTTCACCCATCTGTGCGCCCATAAAATCAACTCTTAAGCCTTGAGGCTACTCAGGATCCCTTGTTATCCTTTCATATCCCACCTGGCTTAATCTGAAGTGCTCTCTGCATTCTGATGCATATCCTAGCTCTTCCTCAGTCCAGAAATCACCCTCATTCTCTCCTTGGCATTCGAACCATAACTTATCTACATTCATGCAAAAACTGTTTATTGAGTTCTTCCTGTATGTCAGGAACTCTTCTGGATGCTAGGAATACAAAAAGTGAACAAAAGATACAAGCTATGCCTTGGTATTGAAACAATAAAACACAGAAATGTGCTTTAATCTGGAGCCCAAGAACCCATCAGAGTCAGTATTTGGGATTACTGTCTATTCTCAGTCCACTTAAATACTCCACCTTCTGGACCAATCCCTCACATTTGAAACTTCACTAAATCAGACTTCTAGGTCACATAATGTTCACTGGAATCAGATGATAAGCAATAAGGAAGGTTAGTTTCTAGTCACACTTTAGTGATAGCCTTTGATCTATGTAAAGCCTACAGTAGTAACTCATAGGCTCTGGTGGTGGTTATATGGATACTGTAACCAAATGTAAAAACTCAACAAGCTGTACATGTGCCATTAGTATTTCTTTTGCATTTTACTGTATATTTTAAAACTTCTCCAGGAAATACCCTGCACAATAGACATTTCTCATCTGAAACTATACATATGTTCACTTTAAAAACACATACCTTTGGACTGAAGATATAGCTCAGTGGTAGAGCCCAAGACCCTGGATTTGACCTCAAAAACAAACAAAAAATGTACTTTTCCATGTTTCCATCCTGCCTATCACTGCACTGGGCCATCTAAGCACTTATTGTATGTTTACAAAATTGATTTTAAACATGTGTCTGTTGTAACAAATCTGATTTCCAGGCCAGGGATTTAGCTCAGTGGTTCCGCTGCCTGCCTCACAAGTGCAAGGACCCAAGTTCAATACCTGGTACCAGAAAAAAAGAAAAAAAAAGAATAAAAAATAAATCATGTATCCACTGGTATTGGTTAGAAAATATTTTAAAAACCCATACCAAAACAACAAAAAAAATCCGATTTCCTTTCTTGTATTTATAGCTTGATTTCTTTTTTTTTTTTTTTTTGGTACCAGGGATTGAACTCGGGACCTTGCGCTTGTGAGGCAAGCGGTGGAAACACTGAGTTAAATCCCCAGCCCTGTATAGCTTGATTTTAAGATGAACTATGTAATTTTTCAAGACAGGGTTTCACTATGCATTCTAGGCTAGACTTGAACTTGCTACATATTCCAGGCTGGCCTGGAATTTATGATCCTCCTGCCTCCTGCCTCAGCCTCAAGGGCTAGCTAGGATTATAAGTGTAACCACCACAACTGGCTTACAATTTTTGATTAATCATTTTCATAGTAGCTTTCTAGAATTTTAGATGATTTTTTTTATACATTTCAGTCACAGATCTCCACAGCCTGTCTTCCACAGACTGAAGTGTTAATGTTAGGCCATGTTTTCATCTACTGTCAACCTCATTGTACCACACGTTTAAATTCTGCATTTTACAACCCAAGTTCCTTTCACCACTAGATGGCAACAACCTAGCTGAACTAGAAGACTAAAAGGCAAGTAAAACAAGCCTTATTTTTTCTTTCTTTCTCATTATATTGAGTAGGGGGGAAAGCTACTCATAAATCTATACTTCTCTATTTTAATAATGCTTCTTAAGTAATAGGTAGGACCTAAAATCTAATCTGTGTGTTCTGTTTTCTGTGAAATCTAATGACCAAAATTTATCTGATGGAAATGAATGTGCCTGAAAAGTCCACTTCTTGTTTAATCTTTAAATATGATAATGGACTGCCATTAAACACATAATGTCAATTCAAGCACCCTATCCAATATAAATCTCCTCCCCACTCATAAATCTTGCCTAGTAAGTCAAATCTGGTCTTTATGGTTCACTTCATTATTAAATTGTTCCTTTCTTTTCTTCTAATTTCATTATTATCTAGTCTCCATGACACTTTTGATGTCTCCATGTTTCAAGTTTCTACTCTTAATTATACCAGTAACTAACAATTTTTTATTAGGCTCACTAAATTAGCATCAGTAATGAAACTAATTGGTACTATTTTTCCATGATTCTGTTTTCTTCCTGAAAGCTTGAAGAGTAAACTACTACACAGATTGTCTTCATCTATAGTATCAGCTTATTTTGTCCTAGACAACTAAGCTATGAGGTCCTTGACGCTGGATACTGATGCATCAAAAAACCTGTGTTGCTTTATGTGGCATTGTAGGGCTTCAGGAATCACTTCTGCCCTTAGACCTAGAACTGTCTTATTAGAGATTTGCCCTTGTGTGTTTAAAGAGAAAACATTGGCCAGGTGTGGTGGCATAAGTTCGTAATCCTAGCACTTGAGAGGCTAAGGGAGGAGAATTGTTGGAAGTTTAAGGCCAGCCTGGGCTACATGGTGAGTTCAAGGCCAACTATGAACTACATAGCGAGACTCTGTCTCAAAAAAACTGAAGAGAGAGAGAGGAGAGAGAGAGAACATTACCTTGCCACAGCTAAGCAGTAGATCGCGTTCTCCCTTGGAGTCCTTCCACTGTGCTTGGAGAAAGATTCAAAAGAGGACCTTAGTAGGGAGTCAGCACTGGGTGTTGCATAGTAAAATGATGGGTGTGAATATCCCACTCTTGAAATTGGAGGAAGGGGGACTTGGGGCAGATATGTATTTTTCACGTGCCCTTCTTTTTTCTTAGCTGTGGCAGTAATTTTTTTTTTATATTGTTGTTGATATCTTTGTAAGTCAGAGAATTTATTTGTATCTCCTAGGGGAGGAAATGTGGGAATCTGTTCCCTAGTATCCTTCTGTGAAATTGTCAAAGCATAAACGGGTTTCTTGTTTGCAGTGTGTTTCTTGAGAGGCGGTAGCTTGCTCAAATTGCTTTGTGAGTCCTTATTCCCAGTCTTATGCCAGCTCTTGGAGGTCATTTTTGGTGTGGTGAAACCATCCACCATCACAGTATCTCCAACTTTTGCCCCAAAGACCCTTGATTTGCAAAGCTGCTTTTTATGCAGGCTGTGACTCTGAGCTCTGAGGATCCATTGTTTTATTTTAATATAAATCCTCATTGGGACTGAAATTTTCAGAAAAGAAACCATGGACCACATTTTACTCAACAAATATAATGCACAGTCTTTATGCTTGTGTTTGAACGCGATGGTCAGAGGAGTTTGTCCTGCTGCAGTTTTGCACTCCAGGCACAGAACGCTGCAGTTGACAAAGGCCTTCAGAATCAGCAGCTGGCCTGCTTCTGCAGCTGCATGAATGGGGCATTTAGAGACATCTGCATGAAGGGCTTCATAGCACCATGCTCGATAGGGATGAACACCAACCGCCTCATGTGGCCGCACACCCTGCTGCAGGGCCCATTCAGTGAGCTCAATGTAGCCATAAAAGGCAGCGATGTACAGGGCTACCCTTTTCTGATACCTGAATGAGGGGAACAAGGGTGTGGGGGGAAGGGTTAGTAAGTCAGCAAACAGACAAAAGGATTTACATGTGATACTCACAAAACATTCTAGCTGAATTGTTCATTTCTTCCTAACTTTTACCTTTAAGGTATTTGTAGAAGAGGGTTATAACCACATACAGATTACACAGGTCCTGCTTACACACATCATTTTGCCATGCACATGTAAATAATTCTAGCCAGTGTCTTTGGGGGGTTGTCATTCTTATAAAAATCAAGTGCTCAGGGAAAATATCAAGCTTTCTATCACATAGGAAATTACTGGAAACAATGCCACACATTTTAGAAACTTGAGAGTTTGATATGTTTGTTTTGCCTTCTCTGATTGTCCTTACTTTCTGGCTTCTCAATGTCTTGACTCTGATTCTGATGTAAACCACTACCTCCTAGTTCACCCCTACTAGTGCTATATGGTCTCTTGACTGGTCCCCAATTCCTCTTGTTTCCTTATAGGCTTTTGTCACATACACACAGTGAGTTTTTATTCCATAAATTGGAGGGTGCTTACCCTCTGTTTCAAACCCTCCGATAGCGTCCCACTGTAATTAAATTCACACTCTTTAGCTTGACCTCTGAAGACCCTCATCATCTGGCCCCTGCTTCCTTCTATCCCACTTCTCTTCTCTCCCTCTTTCATTGTCCTGGTGCCACGGTGAGCTTCCTACTACCCTTCCAACATCCTGTGATGGCATAAGTTGGGCGATTGGTAAAGGCTGGTCAGAAAATGAGAGTTAGGGAGGCAAATTTCCACAGGATCCCACAGCTGTTGTCCAGGATATACTTGTAGAGATGGAGGAAAGCAGTGTAGCATCAACCAAAACCTACTGTATACAGCACTGTGTCTTCCCATGTATTTTTCTATTTGGGGAGATGCTCTTCCCAGAGAATATAGTTCTCTGCGACCCTGTGGCACATTATAACTAATTTGAATCACAAATTAATAAACTAGCTTTTAGTTCCCACATCGACTTCTTTTGAAATTCATTAGTGCAAATCAGCATTTCTGAGTTTGATCAGTCAGGGATCAAGAGACCTCTCCTGAGGTTTCTGGACAGGTAATTATTTTTCTCCTAGTGAGACTGAGTTGTTCGGCCACATGTTTCCCTCAAACATGGACAGTTTTTCTATAAGTGTCTCAAGCTTGACATGTCCATGACTGAATTCATTTTCTCCCCCAAACTTTATGCTTTTCTGGGGTTCTCTTCCTGGTCAAGTAGATCTTCCATTCCCTCTATTATCCTCTCTCTCTCTGTCTCTCTCTCTCTCTCTCTCTCTCTCTCTCCCTCTCTTTCCTTTTCCCCCTATCTAATCTGTTACCTACACTGATTGATTCTGCCTCCCAGATACATCTTTTCACTGTCTGCCATTTTAGCCTCACCTCTGCTGTAGACCTAGCTCAGGCCGCCATCATCTCTTGTCTGTCTTCTTGTCTGCTTCTCTTCCTCACATGAAGGTCAGAGCTATGTTCTTAAATGCAGACCCCATCTTGGCCCTTCCCTGTCTCTAGTGTCTCTTCAACACTTGAAAGATAAAGGCCCGATCCTTTGATATTCCTCTATTGTCCTTCACGAACTGGTCTCTACAGTTATCTTCCCAGCTAACTTCCTCTCATTCTACAACCTACTGCATGGGGTGTCTTTCAGGCCTTGAATCTACATTCTCTTAACTCTGGGCCTTTCTATACATCTTTTTGGAACATGATTTTTTTTCTTCTCCCCACCACCCACCTGAGTACCAGTCCTTCAGGTCTCAACTGAAATTTGCCTTTCTCGGTGCTAACAACAACAAAGCTTAACCATATATCCTTCTATGTTCCTTATGATTATTAAGTTATTTAATCTCTAAAACAATACTATAAGATTGGTACTATTATTATTACTATTATTATTATTATTCCCATTTTATAGAAGAGGAGACTGAAGTACAAGATGGCTGTGTAACTCGCCCAAGTTTCTATAGCTAAACAAGGAGACAGCAGGATTCAGATCTATGCAGATGGGCACTGAAGTTCCTTTTCCCAAACATTTTGTAGATCTGCTTCTCCAGGAAGCTTACTTGTTTTAACAAGGTTACTTGTTTTGTTTTCCCTACTGGACTGTAAGTTTGCTGAGGATAGGAACAATATCTTGTTTATTACTGTGTTCCTAGGATTTTGTACACTACATAGTAAGTGGTCAATAAACATTTGTTGATTGGATGGGGGAATAAAAGATGCTTTTCAGACTGGCTATGTACATTCGTTGAGCTCTTAAATTTTATGGAAAGAGTAAGTCAAATGTAGATGATTAAGCTCATGAAGACTAGAGCTAAATTGTCAGGATCCAATATCCTGTTCTACCTTTCATTGCTAGCTGTATACATTTCTCATCCATACAGCAAAATAAGTATAAAAGGAGGCAGTGAATGTAATATAATATTTCTCTTAAAGGTTAGTAAGAGCAACAATGCAACACAACATTTTTTGTTTTTTGGTACTGGGGATCGAACTCGGGTCCTTGCGCTTGCGCAGCAGGCAGCGAAATCACTGAGCTAAATCCCCGGCCCAACACAATAGTTTATTTAGATTCAGAATATTAAAGAGAATTATCACTATCCGTAAATAGAGACTGGTATAATTTTTTTTTACTATTTTATAAGACTGTAGAAAGCTGTTCTCTCAATTTGTTATTTCTTGGTGCCCTCAGAGCACCTGGTCATTTCCCAGCTTTTGTAAATGTTGATTAAGTTAACCACGAGGGGGCACTGTTCCAAAATACCATTGAGTAAAAACCTAAAGGTCAACGTAGGCATTTGGGAAGCTGCTGGTTGCAATAGTACATTAAAATGCTCACCTGCCTCTCTGAGCTACCTTCCTCCACTGCCACACGTTACACTTCATGTAAGGCACAAGTGTGAAGGCGTATATGAAGTACAGTTTAAAAAAATTACTTGTGAACTTAGGAAGAGGTGGCCAGTGTTTTCAGGCAATTGATTGGCAAGTGTTTTTTAAGAACGTCTAAGTTGAGTGGCAAGATACTTATTCTGAGAGGCTTTAAAAGTGTTGTTGACTCTTTGATATTCCTAACCAACCACAGTCACCTATTTCCTGGGGAAAGACTGCCTGAATTATAATCCATCAGCAAAGGGCTATTGACCCTAGTGGCATCCCTGCTGTCTTGCTCCAGCAAATATTTCAGTAATGTCTGCTTGTTCATGCAAAGTGGACCTGGCATGGAGCAGCATCCCAGCTGTAGAGTGAATGGCAGCTCAAGGTCTGATAGAAGTTTAGTAAGAGGCGACTTAAATTAATTCATCATTTACTTTATCTCCCATACTTGAGTACTGGTCCTTCTTTTGATAAATATCGTTGGACTTTAAGTTTTTGCCCAAGGAGACAGCCCATCAGAAATTCCTTCCATCCATCCCAGACGTCCAAACGAAGTGTTGTACCTATAGATCAAGAGAGGTAATTTATGTTTCTAGTCTTATCACTGTGGTTTGGTAATCCATAAAACTTCTAGTGATAGTTTTCCCCAAACTGAAGCTTGAGCTGGATGCACAGTGAAAAATAATTCTTGGAATAAGGATAGAGGGCTGCTCTTTTTAGTTTAAGGATTTATTGGCTTAGAAAAGCCACTTAACCTCTATAACTTCCATTTTCTCCTCTCTTCAGTAAGTGCATATAATGCTGCAATGTCTTTTGCAGCTATTTTGAAACAGTACTGTGGACATTGATTCAATGCTGATATATATGCTACAGTGTTAGCTAAAGTCATTGTATTTGGGAGAGGAAACTAAACAAACTGGGAGGCAAATGGTCTTGGGCCCTTAGCTTATGAGTGAACTGTGATGAAGCTGAGTGATGTTTACAAGCTAGTCTACTTATTCTATCCTTCATGAAGAGAGGCTGTTCTGTTTTATGACCACAAAAGTAATTTCCTGCTGCTGAAGGATTTATCACTAGCCTCTCCAAGGGTCTACCCTTGCCTGATTTCTGTAATGCCACACTCCCTTTGTCCTTCAGGCTGGTGTTTTCCAGGAATCTTTCCTCAGTCTTCTGATCTTCTTGCTCTACACATCACTTCCTGAAGTAACCCACACTCCCTATCTTGCCAGCCTCAGTTCTTTCATTCCCCTCCACTTTGCCTCTCGCACTATGTTCTGGTCACCTTGACCTTTCATCTGTCCTCCAAACATACCAAGTCCACTCTTGTCTTAGGACCTAATGACTTATGATTTCTTTAGTTTGAAAGGCTCTTTGTTTAGATTTTCCCAAGGCTGAGTCCTTTCTATTCAGCTTTCAACTCAAATATCATGTCATCTTAGAGGATCTCTCTTGGCTTCCATAGCTGAAAAAAATCTCTGCCACCACTACCTCCTCGCCTTCATTACTCCTTTTCTATTGATCTCATTTAACTTCTTCAAATCCCCTATCATCAGTACTTGAAATCATCTTACTGGTTTGAAGATTTTTTTCATGTATGTATTAAGAAGAAAAAAGTTCCTTCAGGACTTGCCACTCAGCCTGGGCCTTGGTAATGCTCATTAAATACTTTTTGGCCAATTAACTGACAATCTCCATAACCCGAATGGCTCACTGACCATCCATGTGCTGCTTGCTTCTAAGTCCAGTCTCTAGTGCAGGCCTCTCTATTCCAGCTCCAGACTCTCCTTGCTGGGATTATACTACAACTCATCATCCTAAATGACAACTTCCTTTACCTTTCACTCCCAACTGAGTTTTCTTTCTGTATTCTTTCTCTTGTGGTACATCTGTCCTTCTTACAACCCAAGAGAGAAACTCCCAGAATTTTTCATCCTTCCTGTTTTTTTTTAATACCCTACACCTGGGAGATGCTTTTTATCCTTCCTGTTTTTTCATGCCCTACCTCTAAACAACTGCTTATGCCTGACGTTTGTGTCATAATACTGAAGACCTCTGCTTCCCTGCCTGCTTCACTACCCCTACCCTATTTTAGGCATAGATGATCTCTCACCTAAATCTACTCTCTCACCTAAATCTCCCTCTTCTCTTTGTTCAGATTTCTGTTTAAATGCCATCCCCTTTTCCCACTGACTATTTAAGATAGTTTCCTTCTACTTTACTATATTAATTTGTATTCCCTTGTTCAGATTTTCTTCACTCCATAGTTCTTATCTCTGTTTAAAATTAGATATTTTTCTCTTTTCTACAAGGTGCTTGCCTTCCTCATGAAATCCAAGTTTCAAGAGAGTAGGGACATTGCCACTATATTTGCTTTCTCTAGTGGCCCTGGCTCATGGTGGATCTCACCAATTCTGGTAGGGTTGAATGAAGTTCTGCCCCTGCCCCAAGATCCTATGGTTGGGTGCTGCCCTCCTAGCCCAGCAGGCTGGCCTGCACTTCTGTATGCACACAGGCTGTTTCTGGTCTTGGCAGGTTCTTCACTTAGTGCCAATTCTTTCTGAATTCTTTGTCCCCCTTCCCCATACTTTCTTACTAATAGCTTATGATGCAACCTTGTCATCACTTCCTCTCAAAAGCTCTTCTTGGCTATAATCACCCCTTTCCTCTCTAAATAAGTTAATGTGCTTTTCCTCTGGCTTCCACATATGCCTTGGAACTCATTGTCATCGAATCTACATTGCTGCTTTAGAATTGCCAGTTTGCAAATACTAATAAAGTACTCTTTGAGCCTATGCATCATATCTCATGCAATCTTGTGGGCTCTATTTTAGTTAAGCCCTTGGGTTGCAAAAGGTCCCTCAGGAGCCGGGGATTTAGCTCAGTGGTTCTGGTGCCTGCCTCAAAAGCACAAGATCCCGAGTTCGATCTCTGGTACCAAAAAAAAAAAAAAAAAGTCCCTCAGGAGAATGGGGTTTATTATGTGGAAAGACAATGATTAGACCTGGTCTGTATTAAAAACTATTGTAACCAATTTCTTATCACTAAGACACAATACCCCACACCCACAAATTAAAGGAAGAAAGGTTTATTTTGGCTCCCAGTTTGTGGAGGTTTCAGTTCATAGTCAGCTGGCTCCAAGGCAAGATGGTGTGGCAGAGCAGCATGGCAAAGGAGTATGGTAGACAGGATGCATAGAGTGTCAAAGGAGGAGCCAGGAAGGGAGATACAACCTTCAGGTCACATCCATAGAGACCTGCCTCTTCCAACCAGGACTCACCTCCTAACAGGAAGTCAACCCTAAGCTCCCTGATCCAATCACCTTCCAAAGGGCCTGCCTATGATCCCATGAGGGCCTTGGGGACATCCAGCTATAAACCATATCAAGAACTAAGGCATTTCTCAAGATGAGCCAGTCCCCTACTCTCCCATGGCTCAGGAGCTCATGCCCTGTGTTTCTTAGTATGTCTTCCCCTTCTCTCTACTCTCAGACTGACCCTGCTTTCTCATGGCTTCGTTTCTATAACAACTTTGGCATTCATGCAGCCTTGGCTTGCTGTGACCCAACTCTACTTTATGACACCTTTCTTTTTCTGCTGTTACTGACTTGGCTTTACTAGTTGTCAAATGCAGACTCACTTGTCTACTCTGGGATCCCCACCAGCAGGACTTATTTAAAGCTACCTTCCCTCTGCTAATTGTCTTCAGGTGAGTTTTTCCTGGCCCATAGCCATATGGTCTCTGTTGTCCCTAGTTCAGTTCTCCTTAAGAATAGAGGGCACTCCCTCTAGCCTCTCTTTTATTCTACTTTAACTATCTGTATTTTAGTAACTGTAGGTGTTATAACTGTTAATTCAGTTTCTTGCAATAAAGCAGTCCTAATTTTTCAAAGAACCAAGATAATATTGAATGGTTTTTCTTATAAGGTCTAATTTTTGCATATCCAGAGAATATCTAAATAAGTTGGGAAGTGCCATTTACTGGCTAATCCTTCCATTCTTACTGATTTGTAATGCCTTATTTGTTACTTTTTTTTTTTTTTTTTTTGGAGACAGGGTCTCACTATGTAGTTCAGGCTGCTCTTGAACTCACTATGGAGCCCAAGGTATCTTTGAAGTCAACAGTGATCCTCCTGACTGCTTGCGATTATGGGCATGGGCCATTATATGTGACTATTTGTCACATGGTCAATTTCTTCATAAGCTTAGGAATTCTGTTGGAAAATAGAAATTTACTTGAAAAATGCTGTCTTGCCACAGAAAATACAATGCAACCTTATCAATGAAAAAGAGTAAAATTAATGAGACTTAAATTTCAGGGGCCCTGAATCTTCTAATTCTCTATTTTTCATTTTTGACTTTTAAAAAGGGGGATGACAAAATTGTATGAGCTTTCCAAAATTGCATCTGCCTATTCTCTGCTTGCAAACCTATCCATCATGCCAGGCCACATCAGAAAACAGATGGGAACAACGGTGCTTATTCCAGGCAATTGTCCTTTCCTTTCCCTGCGTGTTCCCCGTTCCTCATATGTCTGGATTTCTCATTCGTACTTCTAGGGGACAATATCTGCCTATTTGATTTAGGCTTTTTATTCCTAAATATGGAAGTCAATTTCTTTGGTTTGAACTTTCCCTGTCAGGGGAAACAAAATAATACATTGATCAGAACTAAAAGGAATCAATAAAGGCATGCTTGTACGGCAATATAAATTACTGGAAAGAACTCAGTTGTGGGTGTGACTACTGTGTATTAGCAGTACGACCTTGATCAGTTTGCTTAACTTCTCTGAGTCTCAGTTTTCTTATCAATAAAGGAAATAAAATGGCACACGAGGTCCCCATGGGCCTGGTAGGGGTATCCTGGAGCCAGCCTTGATTCCAAGGTCTGAACTGCTGCTGACTAACTGAGTAACTTACTATAGTACTCTCTGGATTTCCTCATATCTAAAGCTTGGGACTCAAAGCACAACTTCTTTTCCCACTTTCTTTAGCATTGTGTGATCCAGCATGACTTTCTGCTTGTTTTTCCTGGATTTCTCCTATTTGTCTCCTCTGTTATTAGTGGAATTACTTAATGCTGAAATTAAGTTCTGGTTAGCATCTTACCCTGTTTCTAGTTTTGTGGAGAGCGGTGTTAGCCATAGAGGCTTCATATTAAATCTTACCCTCCATTGCATAGAGCAAGGAGACTGTGTTATGAGGAACCGCGTCCTTGCCAACCTAGATGTTTACCTTTAGAAATTGTCCTGGAAACATGATGAACGTTCTGTAACCCCGAGAAACAAAGAAGCCCATGAGGGTGGGGAATTTCCAAAGAACTAGAGAACAGGGAAGTAGGTGTCTCTGGATAAGGGTCATGATTAATGACCAAACTCACCAAGTGTATGAAAGAAAGGTGAAAAATAAACTTGGGCGCTCGGTCTCTGGGAGCCCTCCCGACTCTATCTCTTTGTCTTTATTTTTCTTCATCCTCACTCCCCCATTCAGGTACTGTTCGACAAGTGACGGCGGGCTCCGTCATAGTTTCTCCTCATTTCATTCTATATCTTATACTGCTCACCACCAGATTAACTTTCTCTTAAAACGCTCCTGTTCTACAATGCATAAGCCTGTACTCTGTCACCTCCTCAATCTGCCTTCAGCTCTGCTTCCTGGTGCTCGAGGTGAGGCTCCTCTGCCTTTAGGGAAGTCTCCTGTTTTCTGTCCCTCTGTGGAATAAGCCATGTTCATAAAGCTGTGGCAGTGTCCTTCTCCTGGTCTGGAAGCCTGGAATGTCTTCTGTTCCTCTTCAAGATGATCCTCAATTCCTACATCTTTGTGGATGCCACCCCCATATTCTCCAGAATGCCATCCCTTGAGATTTTTAGCTTACTTTGAGCTGGTGTCCTGAAGTATAACTGAGTACGTGTACCTGGTTCATTTCTACCAATCAATGTGTTTACCTGGAATGCAGAGGCAGCTTCATATATTTTGTATGAGCCAGTCAGCCAGTCAACCTGGACTTGACTACTTCTCCAAAACTTCTGATTTTCCACTGCATTTGGAGAAGGGGTCAAAGTCTAACTGGTGATATCAACAGGGTTGCCTCATTCAGTAGAAAGGGGAAAATTTAGAAGAGAAGCTGACCATGAATTCCTTCACCTTCTGGTAAAAATAGATAGATAGATAGATAGATAGATAGATAGATAGATAGATAGATAGATAGAGAATCCCTTATGCTTGAGACATAGGTAAGAAGAATCCAAAAAGCCTTTTTCTCTTTTCCCTCTAGGACCCTTCTTTCCTTGCCTGTCCTCTAATGCCCTATTTTCCCAGGGAAGTCAAAGCAATCTACCCAGTCGTGTTCTGGCTGGCTTTGAAGATTATATCTGAAAATCTCTCCCTCAATCTCCTACTCTCAGAGGCTCATTTTAAAGGGTAGTGTGTTATCCTTAACACGTTTTCAGTGAGCCATGTAACCATCAGAAACTTTAAAAAATATCTTTAAAAAGTGATTGGGCCAAACTATTTCAAAATTCTTTTCTAGCTCTGAAATGTCACATCATAATCTGAGCAGTGTAGAACTAAAGAACAGTTATCCAGAGTTTATCCTAGTTTTGATTTCTCTTGTGGCATTTTATCAAATAGCTGAATTATCAGTTGCTTGGACACAAATACCCCTGGATACTCTTGCTCATGTAAGCCCTTGTCACATCCCAGGCAGACTTTAGCTTCTAGCAAGTCCACAGAGCAGGCATGTGCTTTACAGTGAAGTACACTGGGGACAAGTCCTACAACTTCGTTTCCTCTGATCAAAAATGGGAGCAACTGCCAGGAGTGGTGGCACACACCTGTTATCCCATCACTTGGGAGGCTAAGACAAGGGGATCACTGCAAGTTTGAGGCCAGCCTGTGCGACATACTGAATTCAAGACTAGCCTGCACTACATAGCAAGACCTTGTCTCAAAAAAAAGTGGGGGGCAATAATTGATTTCAAAGAGACTCAATTTAAAATGACACGAAAGAATAATGCTAAGCAAATACAATAGTCAGGAAAAGAATCAGTAAGTGGCAAATTTAGCAGTAATAAAAATCAAAACTACTTAACTCAGGTTTGCCTATAATGACCTAAACAAATGTTGGGAGAATTCAAACTCTGTTGCAACAAATATTACAGCACAACCTTACCTGAAGATGTGTTGTCAGCAAGTACACATTTATCTCAATGGCACCGTGCCTGTCTTTTTTTTTCTTTTGGTACTGGGAATCGAACTCTGGACCTTGTGCTTGCGAGGCAGGCAGCAGAACCACTGAGCTAAATCCCTGGCAAGTACACATTTATCTCAAGCAATCATCTCACGAAGGTTTGAATCATTTTCTAATATGGTCAAAACAAATCTGACAAACTGGGTTTGTTTTATTTATGTTTGTCTTCAGAATACGTGGCCTGGATGTATAGTATTTAAGGAGAAGTTCTAATCCAGCGATGGTGAAGCTTTTAGAGACTGAGTGCCAAACTGCAACCCCAAACTCACTTATGTTTCACAAAGTACCAACATTACAATTAAATGTGAATATTGAGGTTTTGGTTTAGAAAAAATAACTCTAACACCTGTTTTCTTAAAATAAAAACACAATAAAACATGAGCCATAAGTTCACCACCATTTTTCTAATCTGTCTATTGGAGTAAGTGGCAATCTGTTAAGGTAATTTTTCATCCCGCACATTATTGGTATCACACTGTTAAAACAATTATTTAGCCAAGCATCATGGTGTATACATGTAATCTCAGTACTCTGGGAGGCTGAGGCAGAAAAATCACAAGTTCAAGCCCAACCTGGGCAATTTAACAATTTAGAAAGACTCTATCTCAAAATTTTAAAAGTGACTGGGAATGTAGTTCTTTGGGAAGGCCCCAGGTTTAGTCTCCAGTACCACAGACAAAGTTGTTTCATTCTAACTGGGAACATTTTGAAATGAGAATACACAAAACAAAGTTCAGAAACAATGCATATTATATACTACCACCTGCATTAAAGGGGGAAAAGAGTGTCTACTTAAACTTGCTTCTATATATGATTGAAATACAATTTGAAAGAGCAAAAAAATTAAGTGGTCTGACTTTTGCTCTTCTATCCCGAGGATATTAACAAATCTTTCTCTGAGAACAAGACTTGGCAGGGCTATGAGAACTTTTTTATTTCTTAGTCTACAGAACCAGACACAAGAGCAGTGTTGAAAATTTACATCCACACTGTGCTTACAGAAGTTTCAGTTAGAAACAACTCCTTCCTTTGTTGTGCCTTAATTTGGAAATGCTTTTGCTTCTAAATCTTCCTAACAAGAGTAGTTGCCTTCAGAGAGGAAGCTGAGTGCTTGCAGGGTGGGAGACAGGGTGACTTATCACTACTTTTCTACTTCTGATATTTTAAACCATGTAAATATTTTAAATGATTTAAAATAAATAAGTGAATAAAGTTAACAGGTTGCATTTCAAATCTAGATTTTTTGTTTTTTCATGACAGGCTGCAAAACCTGGTATGAAAGAACCCTGGCACTAAGTAGCAGCTGGTGTCCAGTGCAGCAGACAGTACCCATGTCGGTATGGTAGTCCCTGAGCGCATTGCAGTCATACATCTCCTGTCCCTTTGGGGTCCGGAGACAGTAGACACCCATGGGGAAGCCACATCTCAGAGTAACCAGTGTTCTCAGGTCAGACACTTTTTTACCAAGAAGGGAAATGCTCTCGATTATTGGCATTGTCTCTTGGGTTACAGCATTGAACACGTAGAGAGTAGGCTTGTCTTCTTCCTAAGCAGGGAGGAAAGAGGAAAGGAGGGCATTAGTGTCTGCAGGTTGGGACGGGAGACAAATGTTTCAGAGGGTGCTCTGAGTGCCTCTGACTCCCCTGATGGGGCTGCAAAAGGTGAGAGCAAAGTGCTCTGCCTCCTGCTGTTAGTCTTGCTCCTCTGGGGATTGAAACTAGTACCCTCACATTGAGCTATAGCTTCAGCCTATCATCTATCTATCTATCTATCTATCAACAGGGTCTCAGTAAGTTGCTAACTTGCCCAGGCTTGACTCAAATTTGCAATCCTCCTGCCTCAGCCTCTCTGTCAGAGTACTGGGACTACAGACTTAGTTCAGGCTGCCCCTGTATTCACTGTGTAGCCCAGGCTGGCCTCAAACTCATGATCTTCCTATCTCAGCCTCCCAAGTGCTACCACACCCAGAATTTTCTTGCTTCTTAATCTACAGATGCAGATATATAAGGGAAAAGTTGACAATTTGTGTCTGTGCTCTCCTTAGGGAGGTGTTAGTTTAGAAAACACTTCTATTTTGCTGCACTTTAATTTGAAATACTATGGATTCTAAACATTGGTCATTAAAAGTAATTCTTTCTGAGAATTTAACTGGGAGTGAAACTGAGTAGAGGCTGGGTGGAAAGATTTACTAATCATTCTATGTTCTTCACTGTTAATCTGACTTGATTTCAAAATTCTTCTCTGGCTTCCCCTAGGAGCCCTTTCCTGCTATAGGTTTATAATACAAATGGTGTAGAGGTAGCATGGTTCCATTTAAGGCAATTAAATATTTTTGGAATGTTTTTATGAAGTCTTTTTCACACTGTAAGACCATATTTGACTATTATCATGGTATATATGGTATGTAGGGTAAATAGTGTGGACTTTTGGAATAGCCCTGCTTTATTACCTAATCTACACAGGAACTAAGTTGCATGGAAACTAACATTTTCTTCCTTCAGATTAAAGTATATATTATTTCCTTCTTAAAATTAGTGATAGCAATTCTCTAAATGTGATTCTGTTGAACAGAGCAAAATAGAGATCAATAAGATTTCCATGGAACTTTAGAGTTTTTAATTAAACCCCATGTGCTGGCCAGCCCTGAGACTCATGACTGTATTCTGCCTTGGTTCTCCTGAATAAATTATCTTACCTCTTTATTCTATTTGTGTCATTAGCATTTCAAAATTCCAGGAAAAGGTAAAAGTTCAGTTCAAAGCTTGTATCACTGTGGTGGATAAGGCTATATTAGGAAAATTTATGATGTTTTAAAAGTAAAACTATGAACACATATTGTTCCTGGGAAAGGAAATTAGAGGCCAGAGGTAAGAGACATTTTACTATTTCTTTTTACCTTTTGAAATGAGATCATGCAAATATATCTACTAGTCAAACATAAGTAAAATTTTATTTTAAATAATAAAATAGTCCTTAGTTAAATGACAGTACTCCTAGTACACTTTATCTGTATCCTTGAAGTCATTAAATTTATCCAACCAGTTCAAATGTTAGTACTGAATTTATATCACTATCTCTAAAAAAGCAAACAACAAAATCTTAAACTTTATTATTGACTTTAGATAACTTTAGAAATTTTTTGAGGGTTTATCCTATACAATACCTAAAAACATAGCATGTAAATATATTTACATAAAGAGAAAGAATTTAAGAAAGAACATAGTTTTGGTCATTTTCTATGTAGCTTAGATAGAAAATGAGAAAAAACTCTGTTATTTTAATTTCATTTTTTGATAATTAAACATTCTTCAAAAATACAAAAAGTACATGAATAAATGTCTATAAAACATTAAAATATATATAAATATGCTATTTTTGCTTATGTAAATAGGATCTTGCAATGCTTATTATCTTGTAACTTGTCTTTACTACTTAATATTGGAAAACATTTCTTTAAAATATCCATTTAGGAATCACTAAACCATATTAAAAGAGTTAATTTTGACTATCACAAAGATTTTTAATGAGAAAATGAGAAAATAATTGCCCCATTTAATAGAGAATGTATACTTTACTGAGTTATTTGCAGCTCATGTGTTCATATGAGGTTAAAAAAAAAAACAGTACAGAATAATGCTTCTGTCCTAGAGCAGCAGCTCTTTGTTTCTTTGGATCACTTGAGAAAAATGGCTGCAAGAGGTTTGAGAATCTCATGTAGAGAAGATTAAAAATGGTGGAGTAAAGACAACAGCAAAATACAGCCTCTTGGAAACTTGGAATTGAGATACCTAGAAAACAGCAATTTAGAAAAGAGAGAAAGAAGTAGAGTTTCAAGAATCAAGAAAGAGCTGACAGGGAAACTAGAACTGTAGACAAACTGGAGAAACTAAAGACAATGCAGAGAAAAGAAGGAACCAGACTGCAACACCAACCCCAGCATGGGGATTTTACTCTGTTGTTTATGACTGAATAACTTCAGATTTTCTGGTATCATGCTACTACAATGACTGGGTGGGAGACAATCACAAGAAACAGTTACAGAGAGAGGATGGGCTACAGATAGACCCTCTGAGAAGTTTAAGCAGCAGCAATCTCAGATTGTAAAGGACACAGTGGTCTCATTTTCTGTGGTTAGAAGGCAGGCCAGTCATGTGATTTTCTTCAGACTGGGTCTGAAAATGCTGACAGTAAGTCTAGAACATTGCATGGCCACCCATGCTGTTACTCGGCTGCCCAGTAGAGAGTTCAGTGGTTCATTTGCTTTCCCAATTTGCCAACATGCTCAAGGGTACACCTCCTCTTGGACATCTGCCACATCCTGGGGTGCATGGACAGATGGACTACTGGAGCAAAGGAGGCACCTTATAAGCCCGTAAAGCTAGTCAGAGAGAGCAGTGACTTGGGGTGCACAGAAGGGCACAAACACTAAGAACTGCTGAACTGAATACACCCTAAGGCAGACTTCTCACTGACCACACCCAGCAGCAAAGGTGGGAAGGACACAGCACTTATTTATTTTTATGGGGGTGCAAGGTCTTGCTATATATTCTAGGTTGGCCTCAGACTCACAGTGATCCTTCTGCCTCAGTCTCCCAAGTGCTGAAATTACAGATGTTGCCATCAGCTCAGCTAGGACTCAGTATTAACACAGCAAAAAGTGGATGTGAAAACAAAATAGTCCCTAGTTGTGACTCATTACAAACCCCCCCCCCCCAAATCTTGTGGAGTCTTATCAACCATACCAAACACATGGAGGAATTTTTGGGGCTCATTTCTTTTTCTTTGTTTTGTTTTTTTCATTTGTCTTCTTTCTTTCTTTCTTTTGCTCTTTGTTTTCATTTTTTTCTTACTTTTTTTCTTGTCCTCTTATTTTTATTAAATTCTATTAACTTTCTTTTATTCCTATTTGGGTTTTTATCTCACTTTTCTTTTTCTTTTTTTTTTGTACCAGGGATCAAACTCAGGACCTTGCCCTTGCTAGGCAAGCAGCAGCACCACTGAGGTAAATCCCTGGGCCTTTTATCTCACTTTTCTCTTCTAATTTTCCTTCTTTTTTCCAAATTTTACTTCTTTTATTTCTCCCTTCCTTCATTGCCTTCATTTAAATTATTATTATAAATCTTTATTAATTCTTAGCTATTTGGTTGACTGTGTTATTATTGTTGAATTCTTTTATCTTATTAATGGTGGCATGCTTGTTGCTTTTAATGCATTTTTACTATATGCCAAAATCTGCTTTGTCTTTGTATCAACATTACTGCATTAATTTCCTCCTGTTTGAGTGGTGCTGGGGATCTAAGTTCCCAGATGGCTGGACAGTAAGATTTTCAAATATAATCTCAAATAGATTGAAGAGGGGTATAAATATCAAAACATAACCAAATCCAGGGACATATCATAGGGAGATCAAACCTAACTAAAGACATCACACCAGTGACAGAGTTTCTCTACCCTAACTGATCTTCAATGCACAGCACAAAAACAATAGAAACATGAGACAATAAGACAACAAGATGCTCCCCCAAACCCCTAACTACCCCAAAGCTGATCTTATCAACACTGAACTAGAGGAAGCCATAGGTAAAGAGCTCAAAAACCAAATGGTCAACATTTTTTGAAGAGATATAAAAATAAATGTATAAACAAATACATGTTTAATGAACTCAAAGAGGTTTAAGTAAATAAAGGATTTTATTAATAAAATATTTGATGCATTTAAAGAAGAAACAAACTATAAAACTGAGTTAAGCAAGACAATACAAAACATAAATAAACACTTCAGAAAAGAATTAGTATGAAAAGAAAGCAAGCAGAGATTGATGATATGAAAAATTAAATGGAAAGCGTGAGTAGCAGACTTGACCAGTGTAAGGACAGAGTGTATGAAATGGAAGACAAGGTAGATATAGAATAGCATGGATTCAATGATGCCCTAATAATAACAAGACATCCTGCAAGCTGGATCCAACAGCTGCTAGATGACTCAAAAAAAAAAACAGGCCAGGGATTTAGCTTAGTGGTTCCTCTGCCTGCCTTACAATGCAAGGTCCCAAGTTTGATCCCTGGTAAAGAAAAAAAAAAAGAAAAGAAAAAGAAAAAAACAACCTCAACCTCAAAATTATGGGAATAAAAGAAAAATTAGAAGAGACCCAAAGGTATAAAAATGTATTTATTGAAATTATAGCAGAAAAATTTCCAAATCTAGGGAAAGAATTCAATATTCAAGTTCAAAAGGCCTATGGAACTCCAAATAGCATGACCAGAAAATAACTTCCCTAAGACACATCATAATCAAAATTCCAGAAATTCAACAAAAGAAAGGAACATTAAAAACTGTTAGAGAAAAACAGCAAGTTAAAAAAAAAAAACACAGCAAGTAACCCTTAAACGTAAACCCAACAGAATAACTGGATTTCTTTTTCTTTTCTTTTTTTTTTTTTTGGTACCAGGGATTGAACTCCGGTCCTTGCGCTTGCACAGCAGGCGGCAAAACCACTGAGCTAAATCCCCGGCCCCATAACTGGATTTCTTAGCTCAATGGTCAGGAGAGCCTGGAGTGAAGTTTTTCAAGTCCCAAAAGAAAACAATTGCCAAGCCAGACTTTTGTATCCTTTAAAATTATCCTTCAAAATTGACAGAGAAGTAAAGATTTTGGAATTCCAGACAGAGATAGGGAGGCCACCAGCATCAGAGAGTCCAAAGGAATATATCCAACTGGAAAAGTAAGGAAAAAATAAGGCAATAAACACTGGGAAAGTAATGTAACGACAGGATTCAATAAACACCTCAATAATAACTCTCTTCCGCTGTCAACTTCTCAATCAAAAGACACAGGTTGGCAGATTGGATTAAAAAATGCCTACAGGAGACACACCTCATCCAAAAGGAAATACGTAGACTGAAAGTGAGAGCATGAAAACAATAATCCATTCAACTGGAGCCTGAAAACAAGCTAGAGTAGCTATCTTATTTTTAGACACAGTAGACTTCAAGCCGAAACTAATCAGAAGAGACAAGGACGACCAGTACATACTGGTAAAGGGAATAATACCATAGGAAGAGAACAATTGTAAATACCTATGCACCAAAGGTTAGTGCATCCAATTTCATAAAACAAAAACTACTGAATTTAATAAGACAGATGGGGGACTGTGGTGGACTTCAATACTCCACCCTCACAATTGGAGCAGTCAACCAGAAAAAAAACCCACACACATCAGAGTTAAACCACACCATTGAACAAATGGACTTAATATTCAGGTTTTTTGTTGTTGCTGTTTTTTTTTTTTTTGGTACTGGAGATTGAACTCGGGACCTTGCACTTACAAGGCAGGTGCGGAACCACTGAGCTAAATCCTCGGCCCAAATGGACTTAATAGATACCTATAGAGTGTTTCATCCAACAACAGAATACTAATTTTTCTGAAAAACACATGGAAAAAAAAAGCACATGGAATTTTTTCAAAAATAGACCATATCTTAGGCCATAAAATATGCTTAAATAAATACAAAAGAAGTGAAATACTCCACTGCATACTATTGGATCATAGTGAAATGAAGCTAGAGATCAACAGCGAAAGAAAAAGCCACAGAAACTACATAAACATATAAAATTTACATAATACATTACTGGATAATCAATTAATCACAAAAGAAATTAGGGAAGAAATAAAAGTTTCTAGAGTCAAATGACAATGAAAGCATAACATATCAAAACAAAATTGGAAAGAATGGTTGCAAGTTAAGGATAATGGCCCCAGAAAATACATAAGCACATAATTTTGCATATTTTACAATTTTGGGGTTCTTCTGTAGAGTTCTTAAATCCCTCCATGGATCTCAAGTTACACACCATTGATTCCAGACACTGTATAAATGGAAAAGGCTATCTTCATTGTATGTATACCTAATTTAAATAGCTACTTTGGCTAGATTCAGGTGCACAAAGTACCCCACCATACTTTTTGTTGTTGTTGTTTTGAAGTAGGGTCTCCCTTTGTAGTTCAGGATGGCCCTGAACTCACTATGTAGCCCCGGCTGGCTTCCACTCGAAGAGATCCTCCAGCCTCAGCCTCCCGAGTGCTGGGATTACAGGCGTGCACCGTCACGCCTGGCTCTCCCATCATTCTTATTGTTACTAAGAATTTGTTCTCCTTTCTCATGCTACTACCCCCAATCATTTTAGCCCCATAGAAGTGAAGTGACCTAGTCCTCTTCTTCTTGTTTCAATATTTCAGATCTGCCCTTGTCCTTGTTCTAATATTGGTTTGTGGTAGGCTCTATGATGACAGCATGGGCCAGGCAGGATGGGGAATAGGGAAAGGAGAGACAGAAGGCATAGACAAGGGGAAAGCATGTCCAGTCTCCATGTCTTACTTCCCCCTATAGCACAAAGCATGCATAAAAGTAGTTTTTCAAATGGAAGAGAGAAGGCAAGAAAGTAAACTTCTAAGTTATGAAATTACTTCAGTTGGGTTATCCACAAGTTAATTCAAAGTGAGATAGACATCTAGAACAAATATTATTCTGATCTTCATACCTTAACAAAGCATTTGAGAGTCGAACAGAAAGATATTCCAATGTCAGCAAGACACCAACTGTTCCTTAGGGCAGCTCCAGCATACACTAACTCCAGATATCGTCTGGCTTGTTTGTCTTCAGAGAGAGGAATGTGAAAATAATCCTTAAAGGTGAATAGGATATTATGAAAACAGTACATCCCCATGTTACTAGACCAGAAACCAGTCAATCTGCCCCCCTTTCCTTTAATCATTTTAACAATTTTGGAACAAAATGAAAGGAAGAAGTATTAGATAATATTATTAACTTGGAATCTGTAGACTTCCCAAAAGTTTGATGGACAGAATTTATTTAGGTAGAAAAAACTACATATTCATTTTCATTAACTCTAAATGAAATTAAGATTTTCGTTGAAAGTAACAAACTGAAGTCACAGTAGTAAGCTGTACCTTTGTCACCAATAATAATCACAGGTATTTTTATGTCACATTACTGTTATTGAAGATATCTCAAAATATTATTTATACTGACCATTACTTTGCAAGTATAATAGTTATTGAGTGTACTGCTAAAATGTGTTACTGTGCTAATTAAAAAGCCCAATGGCATGTGCTACTATGTATATCACAAATTTGATTTCTATTATTTGAAAATTATATTTCAATATAGCTTCTATCCTTTTATCATACCTATTTTATTTTATGCATTTAAGGACATTATGAGAAGCAGTTCATAGGCTTCATCAGATTTCCAAAAGGATCTATGACACATAAGGTTAAGGTCCCCTGTGTTAGATCGAGACTATAGTAATCTACCAAATATCATATAGCTATGGCTCAATTCATGCTCCTTAGTAAATAAGAATGACCATCTCCAAGTTAAATAACTGATAGTCAGGAAGTAAATATTTTGCTTTATTTTTCATCTTATAGTGAACGATTTTAAGAAATTGATAAGGGTGATGTTGCACCCAAACTGCTCCATATTCTGGTGCTGTGATTGTAGATAAGGTAACTTCTCTGAGCTTCAGCTTTCTCGCTGTTTCAGCTTTCTCTGAATTCAGAATGAAGCCATAGCCCACAAAAGCCTCAAAGTGCTTTCTGCCTCCAGAATCCTTTGGTTCTTTATATTTGCTTGCTTACTAAACAAGGCATCTACTAGACAACAGGCACACTCCACTTGCATGGCCTAGAGTCATGCTTTCTTTTTATGAAAAATTGTAGTAATATTACATGGCTCACACACATCCCACAAATTCCTACAGAGAAACAAAATGTTTTTCCCCCTGAGACTTCACTGGTTCAGTTTGGCTTCTTGTCTCATACTTCTAAAGTTATTCTGTTCTTATTGGTCTATTGTGTAAACAAATACTAATATTTTCAAATAGTTTTAGTTCCCCGTGTCTGAAAATATATCCAATAGTATCTCTACTCTATGTACATTTAAAACTACAATGAGTAATTAAAGTGAATATATATTTTAGAGGTGGGACAACAAAGTACATACCTTTATCATCAGCTTGACAGCTTCCACAGTTTCATCAGTTGAAACATCAAATGGTTCAAATGATCCTTCAAAAGCTATGAAAATCCTCATCCTGTAATTACCTCCTCAAAAACAAAACAGAACATAAAAGAAAAAGAGAAAAAAATCCCTTTTTTCAAAGATCTTGCTGGATAGCTGGAAAAAGTTCCCATGCACAATTAAGGACAAAGTTGATGGCCAGAGGCTGCTGTCACTATCTAATCTCCAAGGCAAGTTGAGAAACTGAAAAGCTGAGTCCATAGTGTCATAGTATTGGGCAACACAGGCAGCAGCTGTGCTGGAGGAAATGTTTCTCTACTGAAGGCAGTAGTCACAGCCACGTGTTGTTTATATTACGGAAGCAGGCATACTTGACAATGGGTGAGGCAAGTGTGAACAAGCTTCAAACATGTAATACAAAAATGCTACACATAAATTGCACTTTGGTGTGCAATGATGTGATCATTGTCTCCTTATGAATTTATTCATACTCAGGTACAGCTGGTTGGAGAACCCTTAAAAATAGACCTCTGATTGTGTACACTGGCATAGGGTGAAGCAAAACTGAGTTGATTATACTGAATGAGTTAAGCCTGAAAATTCTCTGTAAATAACTCTTAGCTAAAGTATTCTGGTTTCCATAACAACTTTGTGTACTTGTTCTCTGGCAGTATTTCTAATCCTGCCATGGGATACAGAACAATACTCACTTGCACCAGGGAGATGAATGTGTAGGCAAATACAGTGGACCTTTGAGTTATGACTGGCCTGATGTGAACAATTTGGGTTACGACTAGAATTTTAGTTTTAACTTACAAAGTCTTGAGTTATGACCTGAATGCTGGCCACCTATACTTCCAGATGGTCTCAGATACAGATTTAACCCTTGGAGAGTTCTGGAAGGAACATTACAACATTCCTTCCTGGGGGGGATTAATCGAGAAATTCTGGGCCAGTGTCTCTCTAAGGACAATGAGATCTGCCTGTAAGAAAATGTGGCCTAAGACTATTCAGGAGAGAAACTTTGAAGGTTGTGTAGAGGAGTCTGACCAACTTGAGTTATAACCAGCCCCCGCAAACAAATTGAATTCGTAAGTCAAGGGTCCACTCTATGGTTTTCCCTTCTCATCCCTTTGTAATGGAATCTCCTGTATAGCAACACAATATATATATTTACTTAGAAAAGTTTACCTGTTTGGTGTTGGTGGATAATATTTCAACCCCTCGTCAATATGTAAGTGACAATATTGAGGACTGTTACTCAAGCTTATAGAGCAAGCACTTTAGTGGAACTTAAAAGATTCTCCTCTGAAATTCTCAATGTGCTATACCTAGTTTAATGTGTTATGTTGGATTATCTTTTCATATATGAAAATCTTGCATTCTTCCTGAAATACATCCTGATCTAGTACAGAACCATCATCCTACATTTCCTTTCATTTAAAAAAACTTTTAAAAATTAGTGCATATTGGTTATAATGAGTTGTTTACTTTTATTTTTATCCTGAACAGCATTTAGCACAATGTGAGATACATGAAAGATGGTCAGTAAATGATAACTGGTTGGCTGACTCTCTTCTCATCCCCAGCCTGAATTTCAACAGTAAAAAATTTGAGAATAAGGTAAGCATAAGCCAGGCATGGTGGTGCATGCCTGTAATCCCAGCACTTGAGAGGCTGAGGCAGGAGGATTGTCATGAGTTTGAGGCCAGCCTGAGCTACATAGTGAGTCCCTGTCTCACACACACACACACACACACACACACACACAAAAATGATAAGCATAAAAGGGTTAAAATAATTCTTTACAAAGCCAACTTTTCTTTGTCTCATATTTTCAAATGTATTGCAACATAATGATAACTTCTTATGCTTTCCCCATTTTGACAGAAAGCATAGTATGTGGGGTGTAGTCGATGTTTTGGTGCTTTACCAACACGTCTTCTTACCTACCTTCTGCAGTTGTTGTAGTTATTAACTGCTGAAGACTCATACTTGCATTGTATTTTCAAAAACTTTGACCTCAGTTAATGGGAGGCACCTTGCCAGGAAACTTAGGTGCCCTTCTTTCTGACTGAGTGCTAAATGACTACCAAAGTTGGAACAGCTCAGGATCGGATCCCCATACATCCAGCTATGGCTGGACTTCACCTACATCTTTGGTCAGCTCTTTTTTCTTCCTAATGCTACTTACTTGTCTGCCTTTCTAGTTGTTCCTAAAGAACACTGACACGCATCCAAATCCCTGTCTCAGGTTCTGCCACCAGATAACTTCATGTAAGACACCCTATCTTAAAGAAGCTTATATGCTTTAAGAAACTACAACTAAGTGATTTGTGGCTTCCTGAACTGCATGTTTATTTATATATGTGGTGTTTTTGTTTTTGTTTTTTCTGTGCTGAGATTGGACCCAGGGCCTCGTGCATGCTAGGTAACTGTTCTACTGCTGAGCTATATCCCCAGCTATACATGTGTATTTTTGTATACTATTGTAGAATTGCCTTTTGGAGTAATTGTTCTGCTCAAAGAACTAAGCAATCAAAATCCTTCCTTTTTGGACTGAAAGACTATATAACTTTGTGGGTTCAACTTAGGGACTGTGATTGAAACATCTTCTTTCCCCAATATGACTAAGTGGCAGCAAAATCTAATTGAAAAAAAAAAAAAAGACGAGGAACAAAGACAGAATGCCCCATGGTTTCTATTGCTCTTTATTTTTTGAGAGGAATTCTATCTCTATTTGATAAATTAGTTTAATTTTCCTTAAGCATGCCATAGTTGGCTACTGTTACTTAAAATCAAGAGTTTTAAATCATACTTATTCATCAAGATTCAACTTCTGTTGGGACAAGAAAAGGATTTCCATTATCACAGCAATATAGCAGTTTCTTAGTGTTGTTCTCAAGATACTTGCCAAAATTATTTTACAAGAGGGATAAAAGTTGGAAGAGTAAGTAAAATTATCCTTATCATAGAAGACATGATGATAAAAAAATCATGACAATGAAGTTTTTCCAACTATAAATAATGAAATAATTTAATTAGGTGACTGTATAGAAAGTTTTAAGAAATAGTTATAAAAGACAATGAAAGAAAATACTACATTTATAGGTCAGGCATAGTGGTGCATACCTGAAATCCCAGTACTTGGGAGGCTGAGACAGAAGGATTGCTGTGAGTTCATGGTTACCCTGGGCTGCATAGTGAGTCCAGGCCAGCCTGAACTACAAAGCGAAACTGTGTCTCAAAACATCAAAATAAATAAATAAACAAACACAAACAATTAAAATAGGAAATTAGCAGCTTAATTAAAAAAAAAGAAAATATTGCATTTATAAAGAAAAAAGATGGTAGGAATAAACTTAAGACACATATAAGAGCTATATAAGAATATGAAAGATCTGGAGGCTACAGTCAGTCACTAATATTTTGGTTCTCTGATCTCTTCTAGCTTTCAAAGATGGAAATCATTTATTTGATTCATATTTCTTTGCCAATAAAAAAAAAACTGGAACAAAAAAACTGGCATATCAAGCCAGGTATGGTGGAACATACCTGTAATCCCAGCACTTGGGAGGCTGAGGCAGGAGGAATGCCATGAGTTCGAGGCCATCCTGATCTATATAGTGAGTTCAAGTCTGACCTAAACTACATAATGAAACCCTGTCTCAAAAAAACCTGAAAAACCTTCAAACAAACAAAAAGTAAACAAACAAACAACACAAAAACAAACCTGGCATTGTGCTCGCTTTGGCAGCACATATACTAAAAAAAACCACAAAAAAACTGGCATATCAAAACCTTGGAAGAAATGCCCAAAGTCATTAAAGTCATCAATTCTTCCTAGGTTAATACAAATTAATATTACCTTAAAAAATACAAACAGGATTTTTTTAAAAAACAAGGCAAGATGGTTCTAAAATTCATGTAGAAAAATATACAAACAAGGATAGTTCAAAAAACTCTGGAAAAGAAATGAGGTAAATGATGTCAGAATATAAGGCTACAACAATTTTTAAAATATAGTACTGGCACACTAAGAGTCAGAAAAATAAATGTAAAAATACAAAGCTTAGAAATGTACTCAAATATATACAAGAATTTAGTATATGATAAAAGTAGCATCATGAGCTGGGCATGGTGGTGCATGCCTATAATCCCAGCACTCTGGAGGCTGAGGCAGGAGGATTTCTTCAAGTTCAAGGCCAGCCTAGGCTACATAGTGAGTTCAAGGCCAGCCTGAACTAGAGTGCTGGCTCAAAAAAAAAAAAGGTATCTTGTATCAATGAGAAATAAAATATTATTCAAATAATAGTGTTGGATTACCCAAGCAGTCACCTTGAAAAAAAAAAGTGGACCCATATTTTTTATCTTACATTAGGAGAAATTAAAAATGTGTCAAAGATTTAAATATAGAAATAGAACCATAAAAACATTAGTCTTCTAACATTTATTCAGATACTTTTTTTTTTGGTACTGAGATCAAACTCAGGACCTTGCGCTTGCGAAGTGGGCAGTGGCACCACTGAGCTAAATCCTGGGCCCCTTATTCGGATACTTTTATTACTTCAAGTGATAAACTTCTCAGTGGCCAATAAATAAATAATTCTGAATTCAAACAAGAAAACATGAT